CCGATGGGGGGGGGGTTGCTCACTAAGGGGCCGGGGCGAGCGCGGCTCCGACAGCCTCGGGGTGTGAGGAGCCCGGGCGGTGCGGCCATGGGGCTTCCCCGGGACAGGGAGGAGGCGGCGAAGCCCCATGCAGGGTCAGGGCGGGCGGGGCCTGCTGCCAACTCGCGGGCTCAAGGAAGCGACCTGGGCTGGTAGAGGGGTCCGCCGGCCGGCGGGGCCCGTGCGCCCCCGCCCAAGGCCCAGCAGTCACCAGCAAATAATCAGACTCCAAATATTCTGCTGCCTTCTAATATTTTGCTGGTTTTTAGCAGTGTCTGATCTACTTGTAATATATGAGCACGTTAGCCTTGGTGGGTGGCACAGCCAGGGACTTTGGGGCATTTCCTCAACCCTCCTTGAACAAAAATGTATGATGAAAAATGTTTGTCTGCCTATTTTCCCTTTCAAGAGGGAAGAGTCAAAAGCAGATGTCTCCTCTCCTCCTTTCCCCCATTTTCTCTTCTGTTTCGATATTAGGTTGTCTTTCTCATTTCCCTTTAAAAAAGACACAGTAATAATTCCTGTGCTGAAGTATTAAAATAATGATTGAGAAAGCCTGAGGGGAGAGGAATGGGATACAATCAAGATCAAAACTCTGCATGCATAAGGAAGAAAGTATATCCTGAAGTGCAGGAGGGAAGGAAAGCAAGGTTTTTTAAATGTGTGGTGTTTGCTCGGAGAGCAGGGGTGGAGTAGGTGGCAAGAAGGCCCCATCATAGACCAAGAGTTAATTTTCTTTTATCAGTGTGTATTGCAGGCATTTTGTTTGTAGAACAGAAATTGAAAATTGAAGGGTTGAATTAATGGAAGTGTGAAAAATGTTTGCAATTCTATTTTTTTCTATTAAAAAAATGCTCGTCCAGTTCATGAAATCATCACACTCTTAAACATATTCTTAATCTGCTTAAAGAGGCATGAACAAATACTATGTAGAAAAACTCAGTCTGATCAATTCATATTTACAAAGAATTCTTTATGCTAAAACCTCCAAATTGTATTTTTTTTTTACAAATTGTATTGGGGTGTGATGCAGTATGTGAACATTTCTATAAGTACTACAAAAATAGAATTTTTCATCTCAAAGGAAAGCAAACAAGAAGCCTTGACAGGGGAACTGAAGGGCTGTTATAGAGCCAGACAGATCCTCTAACATATCATTTAAGTAGAAATAAATGAAGGAAAGCAGTGAATAAACAATTTAACTCATGTCATCTTCATCAGCTGCTCTACATTAAGTTGCAAGTTAAGATAAGCTGTGAGAATATTTGTAGATGAAACTAGCCAACTGCCTTTTTCACAGCACTTATTTATACAGAGACCAAGGCCCAAGAGCTGGATAAAGAACAGCCACAATCTCAGTCTCTGCCAACAGACTCTATCATTACCAAATGCACCAAGTCAACCAGTCCCTTACCTGGGCTTCAAGTCACAAGGAAGCAGCGTCTCCATCCTTTTAACTTTGAATGATTCCAGGGTGCATGAGGTGCATGTGTGCCTTCTTTGGGATGCATAGTGTAAGCAACATCATGAAGAACCACAAATACTGTAGGGTAAGTAATTCTCCTATATTGGAATTTTCTCATAACAAAATAATAACAGTTGAATGTTGAATAAGAGGCCAAACATAAATGAAGGGTGGAATCTAACAAATGGACAAGTGATATAGCAATAAGAGAATATAATAAAAACGAAAGCATAAGAAATGTCAGAATAAATAGCAACAATACGAGTCGGCAACAATATGAGTCAAAAGTACAGAGACAGAAAGTCTAAACTAGCTATGAATTGAAAACCAAAGGGATGAAAAAGAACAATAAAATAAAAGGATTGAAAGTAAAAAATGAATGCTGCAAGGTTACCTTAAATAATATTGTAGAACAATAATATATCACTGTCTATTTTGTACATAGTTTTGGTATTCTTTCTTTTGCCTTATTTGTATTGATTTATTTAGGCTGCAAAAAACTCAGTTTTGAGAATGGACTAACATGAAAGTTAAAAAGTAGGAATTGTTACCTGTCAGCTCCATGTTCTTGGGGAACCCTGACACAGGACACAGACTGTCTGACTCACAAAGAATAGCGCCCCCCCCACACTCCTCTACCTAAACAGAAACTGATTAAGATGCAGTGAGAGACACAACTAAAACCCTCCAGATAAGGGTGACAAAAGTGAAACAACTGCCCTAGGTCTCATTTGCATCTGAGATGGGAACAGATGACCATTCATTTACATGAGAGATGGAGAACAGCAAGCCTGAAGCAGAGACTGCAGTGAATTCTGGGATCGGCAAAGCAGGGGAGCAATGCATGATGGGGAAGCTGTGTTCCAAATGCTAATCAGTTCAGCATTTATCAGACCAGTTCTAATATGGATTTACAAAGGACTTCCCCCCCAACCCCCAACACACACCGCTAAGCAAAAGTAAGTTTACTAGGCATCTCGAGCTGTACATTCCCCGGTCCCACTATGGGAGGCCTATGTAAACTTAATTGGCTAAAACTCGGTTGCCGAGTTAGGGAATGCTGAGGCAATAGACTAAGTCAGAGGGGGTA